GACATCCCTGACCCGTGCACCTGGGAGGCAACATACCATTCGGGAGTCTCGTTTTCGACCACAACCACCTATCCACTCCCCTTATAATCAAATCCCCTATGACAATAGCCCTTCCACTCTTTTTCCCGCCCTTCTGTACAGCAGAGTCAGCCACAGTGCCATAAACCTGGCTACTGCTGCCTTCCCCTGGTGAACCATCTCCCCCAGCAGTATTCAAAACGGTATACCTGTTCTGGAGGGAGATGACCGCAGGGGACACCTGCACTGCCTTCCAGCTTTTTCTCTACGTTTTGGTCACCCATTCCCTTTCTCCCTCAGCAATCCTAATCTGCAGTGTGACCAATTTGCTAAATGTGCTATCCACGACTTCCTCAGCATCATGGATGCTCCAAAGTGAGTCCATCCGCAGCTCCAGAGCTATCATGTGGTCTAACAAGAGCTGCAGCTGGACACACTTCCTGCACGTGTAGGAGTCAGGGACATCAGCCGCGTCCCTGAGCTCCCACATTGAGCAAGAGGAGCATAACACGGGTCTGGGATCTCCTGCCATTTTTACTCTTAAGCTTAGCGTGGTCCTACTATAATATCAAATAATAGATAAATGAAATGAAAAAATTTTTACCAATCACTCTACTTACCATCACACGATAAAATAAAGGAAAAAGAAAAACCCTACCTTATTAACACACCACAGAGTCTTTTCTTTTTGGTTCGAGGAGGGCGGCGGGTAGGAGACACTACACGGGTAGTGTCTCAGGTTTAGCCACTGCCCAAATATGTCAGTTCACTCACCTTCCCAGAGCGCAATTCGACCACTCCCACTCAGCTCCGCTGCCGAAATGAAGAACTTACCTTCTCGGCAGCCCCCTGGTCCTCGCTCTCACCGCTCCTGTTGCTGCTGCAAAAATGGAGGGATCTGAGAATTTTTTTTTTTGTTTTACCTAGAGGGTGATAGAAATATGGAGCACACTGCCTGGGAGGTTGGTGGAAGCAGTACTCTCGCAATATTTAAGTAGCATCTGGATGAGTACTTCAATTGTCAGGACATACTGGGTTATGGACCACATGCAGGGTTTGGTGTAATTTGGTACTTGTTGGTTGGCACAGACTTGGTGGGTCGAAGGGCCTGTTTCTATTCTGTATGACTCTGCTGTATGTTACTAAAGGAGGCCATTCAGTGGGTGGAATGAAAAGGAGTGTGGTGGTGATAGAGGGCAGTCCAGACAGGATATAGATAGGATAACAAGGTATGGAGCTGGCTGAACACAGCAGGCCAGGCAGCATAAGAGGAGCAGGAAAGCTGACGTTTCGGGTCTCGACCCTTCTTCAGAAATGGGGGAGGGGAAGGGGGCTCCCAAATAAATAGAGAGGGGGAGGCGATGATAGAAGGTGGATAGTGGAGCAGATAGGTGGAGAGAAGACTGACAGGTCAAGGAGGCGGGGATGAAACCAGTAAAGGTGTGTGTATGTAGGAAGTTGGGATGGGGGTTGGTCAGTGAGGAGGGTGGAGCGGGTAGGTGGGAGGGAAGACGGACAAGTCAAGGAGGTGGGGATGAGGCTATCATCAATGAATACCGCTCACGCCTGGACATCGAACAGTTTTTCCACCGCCTCCGCGCTTATTGCTCTAATCGCAAGTCTAACCACCTTGACCCCTTCTCCTGCCTCCAACACACCCCATCCTTCTGGACACCACCCCAAGGCCTCCTACCCTCCCTCGACCTCTTTATCGCTAACTGCCGTCGCGACATCAATCGCCTCAGCTTCTCCACTCCTCTCACTCACTCCAACGTCTCCCCCACAGAACGTGCAGCCCTCTGCTCCAACCCTAACCTCACTATAAAACCCGCAGACAAGGGAGGCACAGTTGTGGCATGGTGCACTGACCTCTACATCGCCAAGGCCAGATGCCAACTCTCTGACACCTCCTCCTCCTGCCCCCTTGATCATGACCCCACCCGTGACCACCAAAACATCATCTCCCAGACCATCCTTAACCTCAACACCTCAGGTGACATCCCACCCACAGCCTCCATCCTCATCATTCCCCAACCCGCACCGCCCATTTCTATCTCCTTCCCAAAATCCATAAACCCAGCTGCCCTGGTCGACCCATTATCTCTGCCTGCTCCTGCCCCACTGAACTTACCTCCATTTGTCTCAACTCCATTTTCTCCCCTCTGGTCCAGGAACTCCCCACCTACGTCCATGACACCACCCACGTCCTCCACAACTGCCGATTCCCTGGCCTTCAACACCTCATCTTCACCATGGACGTCCAGTCCCTGTACACTTGCATTCCTCATGCAGATGGCCTAAAAGCCCTCTGCTTCTTCCTCTCCCGCAGGCCTGACCAGTTCTCCTCCATCGACACCCTTATCCGCATAACCAAACTTGTCCTTACCCTAAACAACTTCTCCTTCAAGACCTCCCACTTCCTACAGACGAAAGGTGCGGCCATGGGTACCCACATGGGCCCAAGCTATGCCTGCCTCTTTGCAGGATACGTGGAACAATCGCTCTTCTGCAGCTACACTGGCACTATCCCCCACCTCTTCCTCCGTTACATTGATGACTGTATGGGTGCCGCCTCGTGCTCCCACGAGGAGCTCGAACAGTTCGTCCACTTTACTAACACCTTCCACCCCAACCTTAAGTTCACCTGGACCATCTCTGATACCTCTCTCTCCTTCCTGGACCTGTCTGTCTCCATCGTTGGTAACCACCTGGAAATTGATATCTATTTCAAGCCCACCGACTCCCACAGCTACTCAGACTACACCTCCTCTATCCCACCTTCCTGCAAGAATGCTATCCCCTATTCCCAATTCCTTTGCCTCTGCCACATCTGCTCCCAAGATGAGGCGTTCCATTCCCGGACATCCCAGATGTCCTCGTTTTTCAAGGACCGCTATTTCCCCCCCACAGTGGTCAAAAACGCCCTCGACTGCATCTCTTGTGTTTCCCGCACCTCAGCCCTCACACGTCCTCCCCGCAATAACAACAAAGACAGAATTCCCCTTGTCCTCACGTATCACCCCATCAACCTCCCGACTCAACGCATCATTCTCTGCCACTTCCGCCACCTGCAATCTGACCCCACCACCAAGGATATATTTCCCTCCCCACCCTTATCTGCCTTCCGGAGGGACCGCGCTCTCCGCGACCCCCTCATTCACTCCACACTCCCCACTAGCCCCACAACCCCAGCACCTTTCCCTGTAACCACAGGAGGTGCTACACCTGCCCCTACACCTCCCTCCTCACCTCCATCCCAGGCCCCAAGAAAACCTTCCACATTAAACAGATGTTCACCTGCACATCTGCTAATGTGGTATATTGTATATTTCCGACGTGGCCTCCTCTACATCGAGGAAACCGAGCGGAGGCTTGAAGACCGCTTTGTGGAGCACCTACGCTTGGTTCCTGACAAACGACAACACCTCCCAGTCAACTCCCCCTCCCAGTCCTTGGACGCCATGTCCATCCTGGGCCTTCTCCAGTGCCAAAAATAGGGCCACCCAAAAACTGGAGGAATAGCACCTCATATTCCGCCTGGGAGCCCTACAACCCAATGGCCTCAATGTGGACTTTACAAGCTTCAAAATCTCCCCATTCCCGATCTCGTTCCAAGACCAGCACCCCCTCTTGTCCCCACCTCCTCTGCCGGTCCGTCACTGACCAAACCCCACCCCCACTTCCTACCTACACTCACCTCACCTCTACTAGCCTCATCCCCGCCTCCTTGACCTGTCCGTCTTCCCTCCTAACTACCCGCTCCTCCCTCCTCATTGACCAACCCCCATCCCAACTCCCTACCTACACGCACCTTTACTGGCTTCATCCCTGCCTCCTTGACCTGTCAGTCTTCTCTTCACCTATCTGCTCCACTATCCACCTCCTATGATCGCCTCCCCCCTCTCTATTTATTTGAGCCCCCTTTCCCTCCCCCATTTCTGAACAACGGTCCAGACCCGAAACGTCAGCTTTCCTGCTCCTCTGATGCTGCCTGGCCAGCTGTGTTCATCCAGCTCCACACCTTGTTATCTCAGACCCCAGCATCGGCAGTTCCTACTCTCTCAGGGTATAGATAGGTGTGTTCCCAACAAATACACATTCAACTGAGAAATAAAACTTCAAAGGAGAAGGAATACATCCATTGTTTAAGGAAAATTTTTGAAACCAGCAAAGAAGGACAAAGGGAGAAAATGGAATATGAGAGTAAGTCAGTAAGAAATATAAAATATACTCAGACAGCTTCTATAAACATGAGAAAGGGAAAAGAACATCAACGGTAATACTGGTTCCTTAAGGACAAGACTGGAAATATCTGAAGATTGGTCACTGGACTTGAAAATTTTCTCACCACAGATGCTGCCAGATATGCTGAGTTTCTCCAGCAATTTCTGGTTTAGTGTGATTCAGATCTCCAAGATCTGCAGTTCTTTGTTTTAATTAAGGAGATACCACAATGGGTAAAACATTCATTGAAGAACCATATGAGAAACTTAAATAATTAAGATTTCCAAAATTTGCAGAAAAATTAACAGAACCAAAGACCAAACAGCCCAGGAACTGATGATCTATATCCAAATACTTGAAATGAGATAGAAGCTAACTGCCATACATTGGCTGTTTCTGTGCCTAAAATTTCCTAGATTTTGGAATGTCTGGACTGGAAGCAACCAAAATGACATTTCTAGTCAGATTTTGAGATCAAAAATAAAGTGAAACATGTGGTTGGGGTGGGGTAGGAGGAAAGAATAACAAACAGAGAATAAACCAAGGATATAAGCCACTACAGGACCAGAGACCATCCATGCTATTTATCCATGCCTCAATTAAATCCCTTGCCCCCACAGCTTTGAGATATTACGCATTTTTTTATTAAGCATGATTACAAAGAACTTACTTTCAGAATACATCTGTGATTGGATTCTACGAATACAAGGACAAAGAAGACCTGTTTCTTCACTCAGTCTATGAACTAACTGCATTACCTTGTGTGGAGGCTCCCTGTGAAAGTATGTGACTGTTTCAGCTTCAGGACCAATAAGTGCCAAGAGGTGTTGCATCTTTTTCCGATCTTCCAACTCCCTGCAATTACCAAATTTGACAAAACGTCAGCATGTCAAAAGAGAGCTTTGAGATTGTTCAGTTCTATTTTCAATAGGGTATGGCTAGCACTTGTGATGGATACCACCATTCACATCTCCTTCTAATTGCAGTACAGCTTTTTTATAGATCTTTTACTCCATCCAATCACACCAATCTATTCAAAACCCGTTTCCCACCTGATTTTTAGCCGGTCATTTTCGGCATAGAGTCTCAGTGAGTGTTCACGTTCCTGAAAGAGATAAACCTGCATGTCGCTAAGCGCTTTCTGCAGCTCCTCAATTTCCTCTTCCCTCTGCCGCATCTCCCACTGGAGTTTATGCTGAGAAAATAAAAATATCCCAAAACATCAGAAAACTTAAGCATAAGACAGTTTTGAGATTGAGAGCAAGCTTAGCAACACTAACCAAGAGTAAAGTTAAGCAATTGTTAGTAAAAAAGGAACATGGACTAATTCATACATCATAAGCATAGTTACTTCCCTTGATTTCTGTCCTGGAGCTTAATGTTGCCTATAAATTCCCCACGACTGACTGAATGACAATCATAACAGCATAGAAAGAGTCATCAATATTTTCACTGGTTCTTACAAAGAAATTTCCAATTTGTTCAACTTCTCTCGTCTTTCCCCAGAGCCCTTTCAATTACATAGCCAATTCAGTTTTGAAAATGCCTATTAAATTTGATTCCATCACCCAATCTCTCTCTCGTTCTGTTTACCTGTTGATTTGACTGGACTGTCTCCTGATGTGTTATTGGACTATAAGATCGCTCATGTTCTCTACCCACCTCTCTCCCACACTGGCTTTCTCCCTGTCCTCTCCCTCCGCCTCTGAAGAGATTTCTCCTGGATTTGGTCCACTTTTGCACCCTTTCAAATTCCATGGTCAAATTTTCATGTCAGTCTCCATAACAGAGGTATACTGATAGCTTTAAATGGTCAGATGCATCAGCACACACAATGTTGTTTTTCTTTATAATTGCAGAGCAATACGAGTCATGCATTTGCTTTGCTGCTGTTTTGCATTAACGTCACCTTCCACCTGTATGTTCCCACAGTACTCTCATGTTGCTCTCAGGCCAGGCCTGAAAGGCTGGTTCTTGATTAACGTGTTCCATAGATGCTTCAGTACTGGAGAAAGCAATACATCTCACCAGATACCAGATATTCAGCAATGAATGAGGTCAGTACTTGGGAAGTGGTACCAGCAAGTCTAGAAGAGAATAGGCTGGTCAAACAGAGGAGGGGCAGGAGAGTTTGAACAGCCTTTTGTTTTAAACCTTTTCTCTGTGAGGTGTTTGACTGTTGATACTGCAGCATGAAGATTTGAATGCTCCCTACCTAAACTCTTATTGTCAAACACAGTATGTTTAGAGATCAGAACTGCCAAAACTTCCTCAAAGTGAACTGAAAAGGTGGCCTTGATCGATAACTTCAGAGAATCTACCAAGAAGTAATCCTCTGTGCCTAGGGAACAACGCATAATTGGAATCTGTAGGATCTTTCTCATCAGGCAAATCATTAAAATATTACAAGTTGAAATACTGTACATTCCTAAGTTCCTACATTCATTAATTAAATGTTTAAAATAACTTACATAACAATACATATAAATGTAAATATAAAATAGTTTTCATTTTTATGTAAGTTATCATTTAAATGTAAATAACATACTGAATAGTCGTAGAGTTGCACAGCACAGAAACAGACCCTTCACACAACTCATCTATGCTGACCAGATATCGTAAATTAATCTTATTCCATTTAGGCAAATTTTTATTATCAACAGGACTACAGATTAAAGACAGGAAAACAGAATTAAACTGAATTTCTCTGCCAGCATAAGTTGGAACATTTGACCTTCTTAAGTTTTCCAATGTTTCCATATTTTGTGTTAAGGACAGAGTGACTGTGCACTTGCAAAAAATTCAAGCTGCTAAGATTCACCCTGAATTTGTAAAAGATGGCTCAATTCTAATAAACTCAGTTCAAGTTTGAGGACATAATTAAAGCAGAAGAGTAAACATCTATGGATACCATTAAAGGTATGAATTTCAAAGGACGCTGACAAGTTCGTACAGTGGGTGGAACAGGTGGCAGATAAAATTCAATGGGAAGAAATGCGAGATGATGCATCTTGGTGGACAGAATATTGTCTGTTTATATCCTTTTCCAAAGGCCGTGTAGGAGCAGAGAGAGACCTGGGTGTATATGTATAAACCTAATTAAAGGTGGCAGGACAGAGCAGTAAATAAAGCGTGCCAGGCTTTATCAATAGAGACAGACAGTACAAGAACAGGGAGGTTGCACTGAATTTGTACTTGTCACTAGTTAAACTGCAGTGGGGTTCTGTATATGGTTCTGGCTGCCACACTTCAGGAAGGATATGAACACATTGCAGACAGTGCAGATAGGTTTATAAGAATGGTTCCAGTGATACTCCAGAGAACACACCTCCAGTGATAAGAAACATTGATTACAAAGCAAAATTTTGGGACTGTTTTTCTTGGAGAGGAGAAGGTTCAGAGGAAACTTGAAGTGGTTTTAAAAATGACAAGCAGTCTGGACTGAGTAGATAGGAAGAAACTGTTCCCTCTCATAAAGGAATCGAGAATGAAGAGGCACAGATTTAAGGGATTTTGCAAAAGAAGCAAATGTGATATGAGAGAAATATTTACACACAGCAAGTAGTTAGGGTACGGAAAGCACTGCTTGGAAATGTAGTGGAGGGAGGTTCAATTGAGACATTCAAAAGGACATTGGATAACTGTTTCTATTTAAATAACGTACTGGGTTAAAAGAAAAAGGGAAAAGAATGGCATATGTTTATTAGGAGAACCAGTACAGTCATGAAGGTCTGAATGATCTCCATCTGCACGGTAGCAATTCTGTGATTCTGAGTCAGTGAACAGCGACCCTGATAACTGTGAAGTCATCCATTTTGATGTAGTACAGGATTGACCAAGTGTTATTCAAAAAGTGAAAAGCCAGAACTGTGGAGAAATTAGAGACTTGGAGGTCCACACAAAGATCATTAAAGCATACTAAGTCATGTCCAAAAGAAAATCAAAACATGTTAATGGAAATAGTAACCCTTGTAATGAGAAGGGGAGATTATTGTGCTGCAGAATGTTTAATCCTTGAAGCTCTGGTAAAAATTAGGAGAAATAACAAACCAGGCTTGTATTCCTGTGAATTTAGATGCTTCTGCAATGATTAGGTTGAAGTTTTCAAAATCTTGAGAGAAATTGTCAGGATAGAGACAGAAAATTTTTCCTATGAAGATGTCAAGATGATGATGATGTAATAGGTGATATAATGTTAAAGTCCAAGTCAGCCCACTCAGAATAGCTCACAAATCTTTACAGTGCAAAAAGTACACACCATGTATGCACCAGGTCTCCAAATAAGTATTTCACTCAGCACCATTCTCTACCTTCTTCCTATAAACTGCAAATTTTCCTTTTTCAGATTCTTGTCTGATACTTTTTGAAAGCCTTGAGTGATCCTATCTCCACCACACTCTCAAGCAGCACATTCTAGACCCTAAACACTTACTGGATGGAAAAATAATCACTGTGGCAAATTATTTTAAGTCTGTGCACTCTCATTTGTGATCCTTCGATGAATGCAGAGGATGTCTTCCTATGTGCGCAAGACCCCCTCTTGATTTTAAACACAATCTCCAAGCCATCTCCTTGTTGGAGGAAAACAGTCCTAACTTCTCCGGTACATCTTATTATTATCCCTGGAAAGATTCTTGCAAATCTTGCATGTTCAGATGACTTGTATCCCAAGCTCCTGTGGGAGACGAGGAAGGAAAACGTTGGGGCCCTGACCCAAATTTTTAAGTCCTCTCTGGCTGAGGGAGAGGTGCCAGGGGACTGGGGGACAGCTATTGTCGGTCCACTTTTCAAGGAAAGTGTTTAAGATAAACCAGGGAATTACAGTACAGCAAGTCACATCATTGGTGGGGAAACTATTGGAGAGAATTAATCGCCATTTAGAGAAGTAAGGTTTAATCAGGGATAGTCAACGTGACTTTGTCAGAGGGAACTCATGCCTAACAAATCTGGTAGAACTTGTCAAGAAGGAGAAGACCAAGTGATGGGATGAGGGTAGTCCAATTGATGTACTTTATGTGGATTTCAGGAAAGCCTTTGATAAAAAGTTCCAGGCTAATTCAACAATTTGGATCCAAATTTAGATCCAAAATTGGCTTAGTGAAAGGAGGGAAAGGGCGGTGGTAGAAGGCTATTTTTGTGCCAGTGTCCAATGGCGAACCACAAGGATCAATGATGGGTCCCCTATTGTTTGAGATATATATGTATATAAAATATAGATGAAAGTGTGGATGTGGCTAATAAGTCAGTTTGCATATGAAACAAAGAATAGCCAGATGGTTGTCACTGAGGAAGAAGATCTTAGTTATAGGAGGATATAAATGTATTGATCAGATGGACAGATCAGTGATAGATACAATTTAACCCAGATAAATAATGCCAAGGTGATGCAAAGTTTATAAAATTATGATAGGCATAGATAGGGTGAAAAACAAAAGTCTTTTCCCTAGGATGGGGGTGTTTAAATCTAGGGGACACATTTTCAACGTGAGAGGAGAAAGATTTAAAAGGGCTCTAATGGGCAACCTTTTCACACAGAGGATGGTTTGTATGTGGGATAAATTGCCAGAGGAAGTGGTAGATGCAGGTACAGTTACAACATTTAAAAGACATTTGGACAGGTACAGTAGGATAGGTTTAGACAGATTAGGCAATCATAGGCAAGTGAGACTAGTTTAGTTTGGGAAAATTGGTCAGCATGGACAAGTTGGACTTAAGGGCCTGTTTCCAAGTTGTATGACTCTGTAAGTAACAAGACAAGAGAATACTTGATGAATGGCAAGTCACTAGGAAGGTTAAAGGCAGAAGGTCAGGAGGGAATTTGAGGAAAGTTTTTTTTGCCCAGAAGAGTCTGGAATGCACTGCCTGGGCAGTAGTTGAGGCAGAAAAACTCAAATCCTTTAAAACGTACTTGGATGAGCACTTGAAGTGTATAACATTCAAGACTACATTTCTAGTGCTGGGACTAGTGTAGATTTAGAGTAACTCTCATCGGTTCCAGCAATCAAGGGGCTTCTTCTGTATAGTATAATTCAACCTTCTTTGCATTCTCCACTCACATCTTTCCTAACATGTGGTGCCCAAAACTAAACACAATATTCCCGCAGAGACCAAATTAATGTTTTATACAAATTCAGCAGACCCTCCTTGCTCTTGCACTCTATTCATAAAACCCCCTAACACAGCCATGCTTTACAA